AGGGAGGCAGCACACTTCCCTATGGCTCAAACAGAACTGCCCTTCAGAGCGCTTTCTAATTACCCCTACTCGCCGTGCTGCTGCACCCCGACTCCTATGACAGCGCAGGCCAGGATGCGGCCGTCACCCAGAAGCGGGTCTCTACCCTCGGATTCCTGCCTGAACCTCAGCGCTCGGAGGCATCCTGGGGCGCAGCGTTTGAGGCACAAGAATGACGTGAGGAGAGAGCCTTACTGCGCCAGCTCCAGCGGTGCAGGCCTTCAGATTCACCATCATGGCTGGCTGTGTGCTGACGATGGTATCCTCGATCAGATCCTTTATGGTGGACAGATCGGCTCTCCCTTCATTCTTCTCTCCGAAAATCAAGAGGAAATGCAGGCAAGTCACAACGAGGCAGATGCATTTTCTCCTTATACTGCTCCAACTACCTCTCCAGCCTCTAAGATGCTGCACAGTCTTTCTCCCGGTAATAACTTCTCAGGTACTCTTCCCATACCCTGTACTCGCTCTCCCCAGCGCTTAAAGCTTCCATGTAGCAGCTGCAGGCAAATATAAGTTGTTTAAAGGAGACAAACTAAGCCTGTGCATCTGTGGTCTACCCGGTGCAATTTTGAAAATACACCTTTTACAGTTTGCCACATCCTCGCGGCCTCGTGAGCGGGTACTACCACACTTCCGGGAGAACAGCCAAATTCCTATATCCAAGCAAACAAACAAACAAAAAGTCCCTACCTAAAAAAAAAAAAAGGAAGAAGAAAGAAACAAAAAAACACCACACCACCAAAAAACCAAATGAAGCAACCCAGCTCATTTTGCAGCTCTACATCTGACAACAGCAGGAGGACCTACAGAAACAGAAAGCCTTTTTTGCTACGCAGGCTCCCATTCAGCTGTTGCACCAAACTTGGACAAGAGATGTCGGTACTGCTTTGTCCCTCTTGAAGACACACTGTTTTGACACAGCCGAGCTAGCATCCATTTCAGGGCGAAAGAATCCCCTCCCTCACCCTAAAGGGCCATGACAGCGAGTCACCAACTTCTCCCCTCTGCGGCAGCCTTCCTCCTGGCTCGGCACTGTTTCTGCCCTCCCACCCTTCCTCCACTCGAGTCCAGCCTCCCACAGTTTGCCACTCACCTCGCGAAGTTCGATCCTCGGAAGAACCGAAAGGTTCAAGTCTGGTCTGTCCTTGAACATCCACGACACCAGGAGACCTTCGTTCTTTATCTCCTCCAAGCGAATCTCCACCTGGCCCAGAAAAAATACCCACAGTCAGGAACAGTTTCCATTTCCATCAGGTGCTTTTTGCCCCGCTTCAAATTCAGCAACTGAAAGGCCCTCATGCCAGCCCAACAACGAGAGACAGAATGGAAGAACACAAGCGGTCCTGGGCCGATGGGAAGAAGCAGCTGCAGAAGCCTCATCGCTCCGTAGCGAAATCTGGCTTCCTCGCTTCCTTGGAAAGCCCAGGCGCCATCAGAGGGAAAAAATGACAGGTTATTTCTTTGGCTGATGAAAAAGCCTGCAGGACAATCTGAAAAAGCGAGTTGGGCACCGACGTGGGCTATTTACTGAGCTACATCAATTAACCATCGCCAAACCTAAGCACAGCCATTTGTAAGTTAGCAATGCGTCCCTAGGAGATCATCCTTGGATTGAAAACTCGTCCAGGTCGCCGACAGCCTGAAACAATGAACCACGCTGCACGCCATCCTGTAGTTCAGTTGAAAAGTTGCACACCCGTACACCCAAAAACCGTAATTAATGCAACAGACAAACCCAACCGCACAGGAAGAACTCCTGACCCAGTATCTCTGGTAAAACAGGGAAACGAAATTTACCGTAGATCTGAGGCAACTGACAGACCGACATTTATTGACTATAAACAAAGGTCCTCAGTGGAAAGTGACACATCTGGGACACAGCAGCCAGATAAGTAACCAACAAGAGGTGCACAAAAGAGGCGAGGCACACCCAGGAATACAGTACTTTGAGCATTCTGACCAACAGGCACACAGTAACTTCACCAGCATCTCACGACGCAGCAGCAAGACCTCAATTACAATACCACACGCAATTCTCTACAAGAAAGATTAACCCAAAGCTTCAACAGACAAGGAGACCTAGAAAATGCCAGCAAGGAAAGGAGCAATTTGACGAGACGTGACAAAGGCCACTTGGCTTTCAGAGACTACCTGAAGACGGAAAGCGACCGCAGTCACCTCCCAGAGCTAGATCAGCAGTAGGGACACCAAAAGCCAAGGGGAGAGAGAGGAGCTATTTAAACGGCCGTGGAACGGAGGCACCGATCCAAACCGGGGTGATCTAACAAACGCAGGCTGAAAATTTTACTAAAGCTTCTGGGAGTAAAGGGGTTCTAGAACAACCTTCTGACTGCAATACCTGCAATAGCGTGGGATTGGCTTCTGCTGCCACAGAGCTAATTCGAAGATCACCATGTCTCCCTATAGCACAAACAAGTGCACGGTCTCTTTTTCGAACCCTTACCTGAGCCTGCAGCACAGCCAAAGTGACATGATAGGTGTCCACAGAAACAGCAACGGGAGACTGTTGAGTAACAGAGACAGGGAATTTCACAGCTTCAGCTGTCAGATAGCAGCACAGCACCTAGAGAGACAAGGGAGGAGACAGTTCATATCCTGCGGGAGAGGCAGCTGAGCAATGGCGAAACGTCTAAAACCGACCGGCAAGGTTGACCCATCGTGGCAGGAACGAAACATCAGGCCTACTCCTGGACCCGGTTCTGCACCGCGTGCCTGCCATTTCAGACCGCTATTTTTCAGGCAGTAAAGACATATCGGCGACAGGAGCTCTCTTCTCCTGCTGCAGGACCCATATATTCAGGCTCAGCACCCGTACACCCCAGCTCCGCCAACACGTCTCCCCCCGGAGCTCTCTGAGAGCTTGCCGACACGCAGTCCCAGAGCCGCAATCTCACGAACTCGATGGCAGACCTCGCCCGAAACTTCCCCGGTTGCACCATCCCTGTCGCGCAGGCCTCGCCAATCTCCATCAGACTACGCCGGCAGTCGACGGAGAAACCCTGCGCTATACAATTCAGAATAGCAAAGCCTTACCATGCTGTGGTCTGACTGTCCCTCGCACGTCACGCGACTTATATTTGCGGCCGGCAGTAACTGAGGACCCTCTTCAAATGTGATCTGCACCAAACTCTACAAAAAGAGAATTCTGTTAGTGCCCAGTGGTCAAGGTATCCCACTTTCAAAGAGGCGAACGATTCCAACATCAGAGACGTTCAGGTCCATTTCCACGAATCCGGCCAGCACGCAGAACCCACGCTGAAATTCTACCCACCTTGGCTCGTCCATACAGAGAAAGGAAACAAGGTTTCCAGTCGAGGCTTAGACTCGCAAACACCACAAACCTCTCAGGAACGGAGCACTCGATCTCCCGGAAACCCATGAGAGGATAAGATCATCCTAAAACCAACGACAACTTCGAACGCTCTGTCCTCTGACCCCATCAGAGCCCAGACGGGGACACGAACCATGAGGTGGTGGAGTTCAGGATCT